AAATTTCTAATGTAGCCTAGTAGAGGCAGCGTTTTGAGTCTATTCCTCCCTGCCACTTTGTTTTCACTTCACTGTTGTCCAGCCATATATCTATGTAGGTTCTATCCAGTTGGTGGAACGATGAAGGAGGTACCGTGTGTTTATTTAATTGACAGCGTAAAGTTGTCGTAAACACTTCGTAACCAACTCTCCTAATGGTTTACGCCTAGTGTGGTTTCGGTCGTTAATTGCATTCTTGCAGAGGGGTTTGGTTTTGGCAATGAATTATTTTTGGACAGATCCGTTACCTTCAGGTAGATATTTTACTTTGCCAGTGGTGCACTGCGAATCCTGATCAAGTAAAATGATTCGGTAGTCATACTTCGAGAGCATCTTATATCAATGGTTTATGTGAGTAGCAAAAGCCTTTTTTTTACGGTTGTATTTAATGGACAGGGAAAGTCGTGAGTCATGGCGTGCATTGCTGGATGACAGGCAATAAGCCTGAAGACCACAAGTTTGTGCTTTACCCCTTTCATTCACCTTATAATGACTCACCCTACGGTCATGTTTGATTGCTTACTAACTATTTTCATGCCATTGGTTTTCGCCAAATGACTAACTGTCTACTTCCTCTCAACCATTAAGCTTTATATTGTGCGTGTTGTGGTCCAAGTCAAAATTGAGCCTTTCTTGAAAGCAGTGCTCCGACTTTGACCGAGACCGACCTACTGAATATATATAAGTAGGACAGAAGGTATACAAGATCAAATTCTCCGTCCACTGCAGCAGTCAGGACTGGTCAAGTAAAAAGTTGGAAGTTTTATCTTTACAAGACAACTTAACATAACACAGCACAATGCATAGTCTTACTTCTCGTTGTACCACAAGACTAATCTAGAAAAAAATTTCGCATTTTAATAGCATGAGAAGGGGGATTTCCTTTCACCTCGCTCTTCGTATTCTCTGATAGAATTTTTTTAATTGGTTTTTCACGCTTTTTCACACGTCCACCATTAAGCAATAGAATGCAAAGCAGGACAAGCAGTGAAGAAATAAAAGTTAGGCACAGCCAATACGACCTTGTCAATATGGTCTTTTTTTAGAAACTATGAATTGTACAAAGCGGAAAAGAGATCTTGTGTCTCACTGGGAAGCAAATATATACTGTAATGAATCACACGGTATCTTTCAACCTACCTGCAGTTTTAAGGTTCTTCCAGGGCCATAAATGCAGCCAGACGGAGGTCCGGAACTTCCTGCTTTTAATGTACCATTATAAACGAAAATGTAAATAATTCAGAGATGTTTTGAGTAATATTACAGTTACTAAAACTAAGCATCAAAAACGCAGAAATTGAGATCGTTTAATAAATGAGTTCATAAACAAGATTCTTGTATCGTGATTTAATCCCTGTATGCCTAGGTAGATCAGTATCGCCACGTTTGGAAGCCTCGGGGTCCCTCTACATTCCTATCGGTGCATTTGTCAGGCCAAGCGCATAAGGCTGATTACTGAATTTATCAAAAGTTAGACAGCAAACAAGACAAGGCCATGTAGCTGGAGGATATGCAGGTTTTCTCAGTCCTCCACAAGTTGCATGGAGTTCCGACCACCGTACAATCGACGCAGCTGATCTTCCAACCCTTCTGCAAACTTGTGCTAAAGATACATCCCTAGGTGTTCAGAGGCAACCAGTAGATAATGCAAAATATCTCGGAGGCATGTGAATGGAAAATATATAATAGGGTGCCTTTTATAACATGGTAGCATACTCAAACATTATAAGCTGCTGGTAGACATGATCCTACTCACAGATCTATCTTACGATACAGTATTACCCTTCTTCCCAGTAAATATTTCATCAAAAAATAGACGAGAAAAACATTTTTAACATAAAATCAGGCATAAAAAGTTGTAGGAACGCAAGCAACACTCATCCTGACTCATCATTTCCTTTCACGCATGGCATAGGCGGAGGGCAGGGGGGCCGGGTTTCATTTCGTCTTGAGAAGAGGAAGGTCGAAAGCAAAGTTGTCCTGGCGCCATGATGTTGTGGTTCTCCCTTTTTTACCCCACCAAGACGAGGGCTAGGGGAGGTGAGGTGCAGTGACAGGGGGCCAAGTAGAGGGTAGTTTGGGTTTGGAGGGGGAGGGGGTGCAGTGGCTCATAGATAGAGGTTGAAGACAGGCACAAAATAGTTTTCAAAGGGAAATAAAACAATGACGAAAAGTAGATTAGCTAGAACTTGTGATATTT